GTTAAGCCCCAAGACTGGGAAGCGGAAGATGGGGAGCCAGGTTCCCCCACAACCATTTGCTGTTCTACGTGTTCCTCCATTGATTCAGAACGATGCCCCTTTCCCTAGCTAGCCACATCCCGACGGCTGGCAGGACAAGATGGCTACCTCCACCCAAATGAGGGGGTGCAGGAGGCTTCAAAGGTAGAGCCACATCTCAACTCTCCACATTGATGACATCTAGGACTCTACAGGAGCTTTTGAAAAATGCAAGCACTGGTGTTTCTTTCACCTGGTGACTCCACTGGCAGTGAAGAGTCTAGGAAAGACATTCACCAGGACAGCCACAGAGCAAACAGAGGGACAATCTCCAGCCTGTGACCCTTGACACAGCAGATGTGGAGGCAGCTCAACAAGCATGGCCTGAGCCAGCCCCAGCCTGAGAGGGACAGGACAGGGAGAGTCACCTCCTCCATGCTGCGGTGCATGCTGGGATTTAAAGGTGGGAGCCCTTCATGCCTTTAGCTTCCCAAATGGCAGCTTGGAGGCCAGACCTTTGACTCCCTCAGAGAAGCAGCAGACGGTCAAGTCCACCACCCCTCACCCCACCTCCACTGCTTGGTGTGTATTTTCCAACAGGGTTAAAAAAAAACAACCCAAAAAACAAAACCCTCCATTTTCTGGCTAAGTTTGTGCATCTCTGTGAGAAACACATCTTTGTTTGGTGTGGAAAGTTGTCAGTGGCCACAAGAAGGCCCTAAAATGCTGGGGACCCAGAGTCTGCAAGTGAATCTTAAAATACAAACACAAGTCGGTGACATGATCCATAACAGTCCAGAAGTGGAAAAAACCAAAGTGCCCATCAACAGATAAATACATGGAATAGATACAGCGAATGTTATCCATAAAAAGGACTGAACTCTGACACACGCTAAACGTGAATGAACTCTCAGGACATGATGCAAAGTGAAAGAAGCCAGACACGAAAGGCCACACAAATACAACTCGGCTCCGGGGGGGATGAAAAAGTCCAGAACAGACAGACCCAGACTGAGACAGAAAGCTCGTCAGCGATGGCCAGGGCTTGAGGTTAGGGCGAGGATGGAGAAGGATTGCTAATGGATACTAGTTGGAATTTCTTTTTAGGAGTGATGAAATCTTCCAAAATTCATGTGGTAATGGTTGTATAACTCTGTGACCATACTAAACACCATAAAATTGTACACTTTAAGTGGATGAATTACATCTCAATAAAGCTGTTAATGTTTTTTATAAGGTCAGTGAGGATTACATGATATCACCAATATGATAAAATGATATTGATAATGATTTCTCCCTCCTTTAAATCTAATTTATTTTGTTGCTGTTGAGAATATACACAGCCAAACATTCACCAATTCAAGTTACCACACACAACTCAGGAATGTTGAGCGCATTCTTTGAGTTGTGCAGAAATTCTCACACTCCTTTTTTTGATTGTTTCTCCCTCATTAATGTAAACTCACCACCCTGAAATTTTCCTATCTAATTTGTCAAGTTGTTATTGTCAATTCTATCTCAAATGGACAGTTGTTAAAAACATAATGTCAAGGCAGGCTATTTTTACTAAAGAAACTATTTCTTCATACTGAAAAGACTTCAAAAAATACTTTTAAGCTGTAAAGATTATCTCAGGACAACAGTTTCAGGGGTGCATCCACCCTCTAAGGCTCTAGGAAGTCTAAAGTCTATGAGAATTTGAAAGGATGTTCTGCATTTTCCCCCTTTTGATAAGGATACTTCCATGGAATCTTTGGTCAAAAAGTTCACGGATACTATCCAGGTACATTCAATCCAGCTCTTCTGATCTCATAGCAAAGAAGGTAATTGTTTATGAAGGCAATTAGCCACACACGTTCCATATCCTCTTCTTATTCCTGACTCTTTCCTCTGCTGTGACAAATGAATAGAGACCAATTGTTGTACCCCGGATGGCTACTTGCAAGCTTTTAAGAGTCCAGACACTTTGCAATGGAACTAGGAAGTAGAACAGAGCACTAAACACATTATTAGCTCAATTGACTGGAAGGTTCCGAGAAACCATGATCCTAAACCTCCAAATCAAGGAATCAAATCCCATAAGTTTGGTTGTACATAAACAGTTGTGGCTTTTTTCTTTTTCTTTTTCTGAGGAGTGGGAGTCATTGTTAGAAATATATCTGTCACATAATTTTTGAAGTTTGTTTTTTGGTAGGCATATGGCTTAAGGATAGCAGTTCTAATAATTGGTTACACAATCCCATCCTGAATGTGATTTTCCTGCCACCATGAACCCCCTTTTCCTCCTCTGTCCTAGACCTGGTTACCACTAATAGAAACTTAGGAGCTGTACATTTGGCTGTTGTTGGTATTTTATATGGGTCAAGTTCCATAATATTTGTCCTTTTGTGATCATCCTATTTCACTAAGCAAAATGTCTTCAAACTGAATCCAGTCTGTAGTGTCGATCCAGACTTCATTTTTCCTACTGCTTACACACGATTCCACTGTACACACACACACACACACACACACACACCCCACATTTTGTTTACCTATTTAGCTGCTGATGAGCATTTAAGTTGTCCCACCTTCTGCTTATTGTGAGAACTGCTGCAATGGACACTGGTGTACCAGGCTCTTCGAGGCTCTTCTTCCAGGTTATTTGGCTATGCACCCAGGAGTGGAAATTCTGCTCATAGAGTAGCTCTATTTTTAGTTTTTTGAGAAACATGCTTTGTTTTTCACAGTGGCTGTACCATTTAAAAATTCCTTTCATCAGAACATCAGCATTCCAATTTCCCCACACTTGCACCAATATTTACTATTTTGAGGGTTTTGTTTTTTATCTTATCCAACCCCGTGGGATGATGATGGCTTTTTTAAGGAACGTGAAATGATACTTCAGCTTGTGAATGGCAGCAGCAAGAAATTAATATCAAAGGGAGTATTTTTCAGCACTTAGAATGTACTAAACATTTCCCATCTGTCATACTGCATCCTCCAGGCCCCTTGAGAGCAGTATTTAAATAATGTCCACTTTACAGATGGAGCAATGAACCCAGAGGACTAGTAGCTGCCCGAGGTCACACGGAACCAGTGTGAAATCACACTCGGGTCTGACCAACCCCAGGGTCCCAACTCTTAAACCCACCTCCCCCTCGCCTGCTTCCCAAGAGTATTTTCTTTCCTCATTTAGATAAACGTCTAGAATTTTACAAATCTCAAGAGAAAAACGCAAGCCAATGAGAAGTGGAGAGGGCAAGGGAAAAGAACAGAACAAAAGTCTAGGATTGCAAAAGCAGTTCTCACAAATTTATGGCTCCCAGTTGATCTATTAACGCATCACAGCGAGGAGGGGTGAACAAACAGGAATGTGGCTCCCCATTTCAGTAACAAGCCATAAATAAACAAGCACCCGGCCCACACCGCCCAGCCCCATGCTCAGGACCAGGTCTGCTGGGGCGATGCAGGCTCCTTCAGACACAGCTTAGAGCAGAAAGTCCCCTCCACACTTCGCCCACGATGCACAGCTGCACTGGCAGCAATAGAGGAGGAGGTGCAGAGACACTGCAGACCCAGCTCAAGGCCCTCACGACTCTCTGACCCCCAGCTGGCATGAGGCCTCTGTCACACTTTGGGGTGCACAGGTGTTGCATTCAATTAGACTTTCTGAGCCCTAGACCTAGGTGTTGGAGTGGAGGGGGGCTACTATGGGACATGCTTGTCTGGGACTTCCTAGAGATCTTGGCAGGGCTGAAGATACTAGCTAGAGCTTTAGTCCCCAGTCAGGGTCCAGGGTCTTCCTCCATTGGCCCAGAACCACCATCCTGCACACCCCTGCCTCCTAAGTCACTGCACACTCCCAAGATTCCATGGTGGAACCAGTAAAGGGGCTGAAAGGGCAAAGGAGAAGCTCTGTGTGTCAGGTCTGGTCACCAGACAAGTGGGTCCCTATCAGCAGGTGTGCAGCGAGCCTGTGTAATGGCCAGGACAGCACCCCAACCCTGGCTCTCTCCTCTACCTGTGAGATCACAAGCTGTTCACTCCACTCTGTGCCTCTGTTTCCCCATGTCAGGGGAGACCATTCACAAGGGCTGCTGAGCAGGACTGAGTGACCAGTGAATTAAGGCATAAAAGCCTGTGTGTAGGAATAAATGAACACCCCGTAGGAGAGAGTTCACCTGGCCCAATAACACATTTGCTTAGTCTCTGGTCACCACGAGGGAGGCCTGTTATCCCTCTCCCCAAGTTGTTCCCCTTCCTTAACCTGAGATGGGTTACCTGTCTGGGACAAGTGTCAAGGGGCTGGAGTCCTTCATCCAGGTGACCAGCGGGGGTGGGAATCCCTCAGCCTCGCAGTCCAGGGTCAACTCCTCATTGGCCTTAGCCGTGACCTTCAGAGGCCTGTTTACATCCCGTGACCCGTTCACACGAATCCTGGGCTTGGCTGCGGGTGGAAGCGAGCAGGGACTGTGAGCAGGGTATGAACAAACAGGGGTTTGAAGAAAATTGGGAGACCTGGGCCCTCGGGAGGACGGATCCTTTTCCTGGGAACATTTCTGCAAAACCATTCTCCTCTTTGTCCCTTCTCCTCCTTGACTGTCTTGTCTCTCCCCATGACATCACCTGAACTCTCTCTGGCTCTGTCAAACCCAAGCCAGGGATTTAGAGCCACCTGTGCAGGTGACATCTCTCTCAGCTGGAAAGTCACTGCCGGAGGCAGACATGACATCACCCTCCTCCTACCTCATGCCCCTCTGACTCCTAGCTTGGAGCTCATGCCCTGCAGACACTAGACACGTGCTCGACAACCGTAATTAAACAAGCCAGCCTGCTGGGGACCTAAGACCCTTCTAACCTTCACCCGTGCCCCGCACATTCATACCCTAGTCGGTCATTCAGTGAGGGAAATCTTGTCTTTAAAAATAAAACAAAACAAAATTGTAAGATAGAACTATTGGCTGTAAGAGAATAGGATGGTAAAGCCTGGCTGCATTCACTCATCCCTGACAAAGCTACTGAGTGGCCTGTGTTGGATACAGGGACACAGAAGCAGAGCAGACAGGTCCAGTCCTGAGGCTCATTCATGGTTCTTACGGGACCTGCGTACACTGACAGCAATCAGCTCAACATACAATCATTCATTCACAGCGGTGTTGGGTGCTGTGCAGGAGGATGTTCAGATTTTTTTGTTTGTTTGTTTTTACGCTAAGAAAACCTGACTCAGGTGGGAAGATTGTGAGATATAAGATCTGACACATGGAGGAGACACTCAACCAAGAAGCTGGAGGAGTGAGGAGGGCGGAGGGACATTCCAAAGAGAAGGAACAAAATGTGCAAAGGCCCTGAGGCAGGAAGGATAATTTTATAAAATGAAAGGAGACTGGAAGGTCAAGGGCAGAGAAAGTTGGGAAAGACACTAGAGAGGGGGTAGTGGGGAAAGAGGGAATGTTGGTGAGGTCTGGAGAAGGGCCTTGGGATCCTTGCAAGTGTGACTGCAAAGGGCTGAGTAGAATGACTGTTAAGTCCACTAACACCCCACTTGGGGGAGGGCTCTGAGACTGGGGAATTTGGGTCTTCATGCTTTGAGAAGGAAAGAATTTCTAGCAAGTGTTATCCAAAGGTCACAAACCCGCATGGTACAAGGGAAATACAGATAAGGTTGGGCTGTCATCTCCCCTCCCAGGGCTGGGGCTCCCATACTCACTGTTCACAGATAGCCTCATCTCCTGGCTGGAGAAGCCCACAGTGTTGGTGGCTGTGCAGACATAGGCCCCAGCATCCCAGGCAGATGGCCGGGTGATGACCAGAGTGCCGTCCTTACTTACATTGTAGTGGGGACCCCTGGAAGTGAGGGTGTTGGTTTCCTAGAGCAGAGAAGCACAGGTGACATCAGGACAACATCCACACCTCACAACTTGCATCACTTCCCCTCCTCTGAGGCCCCGGGCTCACCCACTGGCCACCACTTCTATCTGGTAGCAGGCCCCACCTACCTTGGTCCAGGTAATGGTTGGGGTAGGAACTCCTGAGGCCACACAGGGAAGAGAGGCTGGGACACCCTCATTGGTGACATGGTGGGTGGTAGTGGCCTGGATTCTAGGCGGCACTTTTAAAAAACAAACCAATTTCAACACACAAATGGAAACTGCATTGTTGTTGTTGTTGTGTACCATAGAGGTGGAACTAGCCCACAGCTGACCCTCTGGAGAGTTTTCAGAGGCAGTTAGCCTCATGGGAGAAGATTGCCTATCCTTCTCCCACAGAGCAGCTGGTGGCCTAGAACTGTATGCCTTTGGGATTGCAGCACAGCTTCTTGCCACTAGGCCACCAGAGCTCCCTGGAAATTGTATTACCGCTAGAAAAAACTAGGGAGCTCTGGTAGCTTAGTGGTAAGGAATTGTGCTGCTAACACAAAGGCACACAGTTGAAATCCACCAGCTGCTTCATGGGAGAAAGATGGGAAATCTACTCCTGTGTTGGAGGGTCAGCTATGAATTGGTCTCAACTCAACAGATATACAACAACTATAAAAACTAACACCTGGCTATATTTACACTCATTAGCCTAAACAGGAAGCTACATGCAGTTGGCAACCAGTTACATCATTTCCTTACTCTAGAACTTTGAATAAATTGCATAATCATTTTATATTCATATTCCATGATCAGCCAAAAAATAAAAAAGAAACTAACTCCAATTCTCTTCCTATTCCTTCAATGACAGACAGACGAGAAATGGCAGAAGATTTTGTCTGTGGGATGCAGTGACTTTGAACGTTCTCAGGTCCATTCTGGGCACCAGCCAGGTTTGCAGCCATGAGAATGGTGGTCTCCAAGGGAAGTTGAAGGAGCTCTGGTGGCGTTATACACAGACTTGCATTGCAATTCCAAAGGTCTCGCCTCTCTGAATCTACCTGTTGCTGTTGTTATCTTTCATCAAATCACTTGCAACTCATAGCCACCCTATGTACAACAGCTCTGAACCCTCCTCTATGCTGTGCCAAGCTTATTGTCTCTGACACACCTACCCCATTACTCCAGTCACTGAATCAATCCGTTTCTTGCAGGATCTTCCTCTGTTACAGTGTTCCTCCACCCTTCTAAACATGATGTCCCTCTCCAAGAACTGGCCCATCCTTGCAACATGTCCAAAGTCAAACGAAGCTTCAGAATCCTTGCCTTCAAGGAGCAGCCTGGTTTCACCCTCTCCAGGACGAACCTGTTTGTTCTCCTAGCAGACTACAGTATATTCAATACTCTTTTCCAGCACCACAGCTCAAAGGCATCAATTCTCTTTCTATCATCCCTAGTCATTACCCAGCCTTCTGATGCATAGCAAATTATTGCAAAGACTATGGCCTGGATCAGGCATATCTAAGTTTCCAGACTGAAATAATTGTTCTAATTATAATAATTGAAATAAGCATTCTGGAGAGGTCCCTGACAGCAGACTTTTCCAATGCAATTCATATTTTGGCTACCTGGCTGCTGGTACCAAGAGTGTTGATTGTGGAGCCAAGCAAACTGAAGCTGTTAACAATCTCAAACTCTTCACATATTATGGTGCTGTCAATAGACCCAGTGGTGCTAATCTTTGTTTCCTTGATATTGAGCTTCAAACCATATTTAAGGCTGCAGTCCTTGACCTTCTGCAGCAAGCACTTCAAGTCCTCAGTTTCAGCAAGCAGGTTTGTGTCATCTGCATCACACAAATTGTTGATGAGTCTACCTCTAATCCTGATGCCACATTCATTGTCATAGAGCCCAGTCTCCCAGATGATCTGTTCCACATATAGATAGGTTTGAATTTGAGAATACCTGATTAATTTGCAAGCATGTCTTCATGGGTTTCTTGGCCATCTGGATGTCTGCTTTGGTGAAGTGTCTTGTTAAGTCCTCAGCCTGTTCTTTAACTGGGTTGTTTGTCTTGTTCTTGTTGTTGTTGGCTGCTGTTTAACGAAGCGGGTCACCAGGCCTTTCTTACCCAGATTGAACTGTTAAGCTTTACAGTAGAGTTGAGAGCAAACCATTTACACCACCATTCAGGGCACTCAGCCAACATGTTGATAAATATTTGTTGGATAGAAAGAAACTGAGCCATGAGAGACCGTGCTGGTTCCAGGCAATCCCACAGACAGGCTGTGCCACACACGCAGGGATGTCAGCGAGCAGCTCTGTGGCAGGCAGCTCGGCTCTCCCCCACCCTCGCTGTTTGCCAGTGTGATCTGCTGAGTATTCTCACCTCTCAACTTCCTTAACTTCAAAATGTGGAGTCTTTAAAAAGGCGACCTCTTGGAGGAATTGTGAAAAGTAAGTGGAAACAGGTTGTTGTTGCTGTTGCTACTAGGTTCTGTCAGGTTAACCAACAATCTGTACCGACCTTAAGAACGAACAGCAGATCGATGCCTTGCCCTATCCTCTGCCATCCTCGTCATCTGATATGATCGAGCCCAGTGTTAGTCACTGAGTTGGTCCATCCTGTTGAGGATCTTCTCTTTCTCTGACTCTCCACCTCTCTCAGCATGAGGTCTTTTCCCAAAGACTGGCCTCTCCTAACAGCATGGCCAAAGCAGATGAGATGAAGTTTGGATGGTCAAATCTTTGCCTCTCAGGGGCACCCTAGTTGTACTTCCTCCAAGACAGACTCGTTCTTCTGACAGTCAATAAGATATTCAGCTTACTTTTCCAACACTCAATCCAAAGGCACTGATTCTTCTGTCATCCTTATTATTTTATTATTCAGGGGTAAAGATAAATTCTTTTACAGCAGGGAAGCTCTTCCCCAACAGTAGAGGCATGACATATACACTTGTCAAAACTCACACAATTGGACAACAGAAAGAGTGAATCTTAGTGCAAACCCTGAACTTTAGTTATCATTAGGTCCGAGTGTCAGTTCATCAGGAACAAATGATGTGTCACACAACTGATGACTTTCATAACCAGGCAAAACATGTGCAGAGGGAGAAAGAGGACAACGAGAATGCTGTCCTTTTCTGCACAGGTGTGGGTTTTTTTGAGGGGGTTTTGTTTTTGTTTTTGTTTTTAATCTAACACTACCTGTGGTTATCTCTGTTATACCAGCATTAGATAACTAAGACATATGGACTGCCACAAGAACAAATTAAAAAAATTCTTTTAAAAAGAACATCGACAGAGCAACAATGAATGAATGAAAACCCAAAATCTCTGTAAATGTTCACTAAAACTAATAAAATTTAATAATAATAAAAAAACCAGCTTGAGAAGAGTTGAACATGACAAAATAGTAGTTCAAAGAGATATAGAGTTACTGTAAGAAGTTATGTTTAAGTTGGAAAAAACACAAAGGTTATACCAAGGAATTTGTGATTCAAGAAATATTAGGATAACAAAGTTAATCTGTATTCAGAGAATCATAATAAAGTAAATTAAAAAGGGTGTAGATCTAGCACAACTTACAAATGCTGGTTTCAATAATTGTCACATCAGCACTACTAAATTTACCTTTTTCAGTAATATTGCATTTTTTGTCCCTTCATTTTTATTGACATTTTCATCAAATAAAGATTTCCTCTTGAAAAAAAAAAGAACATCGAAACAACTATGAAATATCATCTCACCCCAGTAACAATAGCAAAATTCAACAGAGCAGCGAACAAATGCTGGTGAGGTTGTGGAGAAACTGGAACCCTTATTCATTGTTGGTAGAAGTGTAAAATGGTGCAACCACTGTGGAAGGCTGTTTGGTGCTTTCTCAAAAAGTTGCAAGTAGAGATACCATTTGACCCAGCAATTCCACTACTGGGAATATACCCTAAAGAAACCAGAACTGCTACCCAAGCAGACACATGCCCTCCCATGCTTTTTGTGGCTTTGTTCACAATAGCAAAGAGTTGGAAACAACCTAAGTGACCATCAACAAACGAATGGATAGAGAAGCTGTGGTATAGTCACACAATGGAATACCACACTGCGTTGAAAAACAAGAAACTCATGAAATATTATAAAAAATGAGTGACCACGGAGGACATCATGCTGAGTGAAATGTCTCAGTCACAAAAGGACAAATACAGCATAATGCCATTGTTATAAAACAGGACTGACATGGGGGTTGGGGAGAAATTAAGGAAAGAAGGAGTAAATAATGTATATTGCATTGAAACAGATGAGGAAGACAACTGTTTAAAAGGAATATATGATTAGGTATTATTTTCATAACAAAAGTCCAGAATAAGAGCTGCATAATAAAGGGACAGGGAGGGGAGTATTGTATAGTAATGAAAAAAAATGTTTTTCAAAGAGAAAAGCGAACTGGGGGTACGGGTGTGCAGGGAGGAAAATGTGCAACATTGAATAAATGGAAATCCAAGTTCTTGATAAACTTTCATTAAAATCTAAGGGGGAAAAAAAGAACAAATAAGTCAGTCTTGGAAGAAGCGTAGCCAGAATGCTCTTTAGAAACAAGGATGGTGAGACTTTGTTTCACATACTTTGGTGTGTGATTAGGAAGGGACACGTCCAGGAGAAAGACACCATACTTGGAAAAAAAGAGTCTCAGTGACAGAGATGAAGTCTTTCAGTGAGATGGACCATCACAGTGACAGGGACAGTGAGTGTAAGTGCAGTGGAGACAGTGACACTGGTGCAGGATTGAGCAAGGGTTTGTGAGCAGAGGTTTGTCCTCTTAGACCCCAGGTCTCTATTGCTCTGAGCGACCTCTAACAACAAAATGGCTTTGAAAAAAAAAAGCCTATTAAAATAACTTAAAAATGTAAATGAAAGCACATGTAGAACCCAGCAGAGGGCTGATAACTGCTATTGTGCTACTATTGTGATTTTAATGTATTTTTTTTGTTCACATCTTGGGAGTTTTAGAAAAAAAAAATGAGGGGGTTGTTGTGATTGTGTACCATTGAGTCTGAATCGACTCACAACCGACCTGTAATTGACTGTTCGGTGGGTTTTCAGAGGCAGTTAATCTCTTGGGAGGAGATTGCCCATCCTTCTCCCACTGAGCAGCTGGTGGCCTCGAACTGTGTACCTTCGGGATTGCTGTGCAGCTTCTTGCCACTAGGCCACCAAAGCTATTAAAATATATGGTGAAGGAGCTCTGGTGGCCTAGTGCCAAGAAGCTGCACTGCAATCCCAGAGGTATGCGGTTCAAATCCACCAGATGCCGTGCTGGAGAAGGAGGGACAACTCCTCCTGTACCAGTCAGATTTGATTTGACAGTACACACACACACACAATCATACAATTAAAAAAAAATTGAAAATATGTGGTCAATTACAAAATATTACCTAACTTAGTTTTAAAACTTTCATTTCACATTAAAAAAGAATAGCAATACCAGATTGAGGAGAGGGGGGAAAGCAGAGAGCCTCGGACACAGACGACAGGAGCAAGGTGGAGACAAAGACACTGCAAGTCCTAAAAATCGAGCACTCTGTGCTCAAAAAAATCTGTACAGTAACTAAGTGATCCTAAGGAAAGAACTGAAGAGCCGGTTAACGTTCTCAGCCACCAACTAAAGGTTAGGAATCCACCAGCCCAGCCTCTCTGAAAGAAAATGATGTGGCAACTGCTTTCACAAAGCTGTGCAGCCTTGTAAATTGGAGTGGCTAGCCCTATTCTGTCCTGTGTGGTTGCCGTTATATGAATTGGCTCCACAGCAGAGGGCTTGGGTGTTTTTTTTCCTCAGTTAAAGAAACAGCCGTCCAGTGGACAAAGACATAGTAAAAGTGGACAGAAGGCAGGGAAAAGGGGAGCTCACAGCAAATCCAAACAGGGGACACTGCGGCCACCAGATCTTTTAACACAGAACACAATCAAAATGCATTGCTGCTGATAAACTTACGTTAGAAGACAAAAATCATAATAACAATAATATAAATATCGTTTTAATATATTTGTACGTGTATATCAACAATCTATAACTACATAACTAAAAAAATTCCAGCACATTGCCATCAAGTCAAAAGGGACTCACAGCTGACCCTCCACTGGGTTTTCAAGGCTGTAAATGGCTCAGGAGGAGACTAGGGTTTGGATTTAAACCATCTGTGTCACCCAGGGGCCTCTACTCCCTCCCTCCCTCACTCACTCACTCTCCATCTTTGAGTTAATTCTGACTCATACACCCTTTTATCAAGGCTACAGATCTCAGCAGGAGGAGACTGCCCACTGCTCATCTTTCTCCCTAGGGGTCCTCCAGCCTTTGTCTTCTTAGCAGCCCAACTCTCTACAGGCTGTGCTACAAGGAGTTCTGGGATGTGAAATGTCTGCTTCACGTGGCACTGCTAACCAAAAGGTCAGATGTTTGAATCCACCAGCTACTCCTTGGGAGGAACAAGGACCAGTGTCCTCCTGTGGATTTCTAGATTTACAGCCTCAGAAGTCTGATGGAGCGCTGCTAGGAGTCAGGATCAAGTTGACGGCAGTGGTTTCTTTACAGCATTTATACACAACATATGCATAGATACTCATGTTTGCATAAAGAATAAAAAGAAACACATTAAAATGTAAATGATGGTTATTTTTAGCTAGGAAAATGGGTTGGCTTTTTTTTTAACCTCTCAAACGTATAATTTTCCTGAAGTGAATAGGTATTATTTGTATTACTTTTTATATATAAACCTTTTCAAGGTCAAGTTCCTCCATCTACTTCCAGTCCTTCTCCCACCCATTCCTACTGCCCTTGGGGCAGGGACTCACCCTGGACCACTAGCTCCATGTCACGGTGCTGAGAGCCGGCGGTGTTGGTGACCACACAGTGGTACCTGCCCGCATCCTCCTGTAGTGCCCGGTCAAGGTGGAGGCTGCCGTCGGCTCGGACAGCATGTCGGCTGCCAGGTGGGAGCTGAGGAGAGGAGGACACACATTGAGACTGCGAGAACAGGAAAGCAAGGGGTTGGAGAAGGTTGATGGGCAGGGGGTGTGACAGGAGTAGGGCCATGACTGTCTGGCTTCCAATCCTCCCTGAAGACTAGTCCAATCCCTTAGAGCCTGTAGGGTTGATGGGCCTGGGCCCTGACAGCCTTGAGCCCACCCCTCCCCTGGCTGGCTGGATCAAGCCCACATCTCCTGGGAATGTGGACTTGAAGCCAGAGCATTTCCTCAGTGGGGGATGGCACAGAAGGGGGCAGTGCAGAGCGGTGCATGCCAGACCACGACGGGGTCCCAGAGAGAAAAGCAGAAAGGGAGTCCTAGTCACTCTCTAGTCTGCCCATAGCAGGGGAAAAAGGGAGGGGGGGTACTAGTTCAGACAGGTCAGAGAAACCTTGTGAGGACTTCCTGTTTGTCCCATTTGGAGGGGAGCTCACAAAGCTTCTCATCAGAGCTGAGCCTGCTCTTGGTAGCCTGGCCACTGTTATTTTAAAGTATGGACTGTAGAGTCGAGAGACCTGAGCTCCAGTTCTAGCTTGGCCACCGGCTAGCAATGCAATCTTAAGCATGTGACTCAGCTTGCTAAGCCTCAGTTTCCCCATCTGTAAAATGGGGAAAATAAGAGACATCCCCTTCCTGGTTAGGTATGAAGGAAGAGAGGCGTGCAGGTGAGTGCCCAGCTCTGGTGTCTGTGTATCTATTGGAGCACTATCAGAGAAGGTTCTAGAAAGAAGCAGGAGAAAGGTAATACAAGAACATGCCAAAAAGAGGAGCAGCAAAGCAAAGGCTGAAGCATAAACCAGCAGCCCTCTGTCCTTCCTCAGGGGCTCTGTCCTCCGCCCCCTCCAGGGCCCAGCACTCACAGGCTGGCCAGCCTTGAGCCAGCGTCTCTCAGGGAGGGGCCTCCCGGCCAGGATGATACAAGGCAAGGACACCGGCTGCCCCTCCAGGACCCGGACCGTGGAGGGACTGCTGGCAATCTGCGGGACAGCTGTGGGAGAGGTGGTGCCATCAAAGACCAGAGGCCCCACATCCCCCCCTTCTCCTCCCAGGTGGGCACATGAGGACGGAGGATCCTAAAGGGTCAAAGGCCCCTGGACACCACCCAGCAAGTGGGGACACAGACGTTCTTCTTGGAGAAAGTGGCATGGACATCTTTCTCAAAACATGGTCATGGGAAGCTTCCCTGGGGGTTCCTATGGGCTGGCCGCTCCCCAGAAAGAACCCACACACACCCCACCTCCCTGACTCTCCCAATCCACCAGCGAACCATGTCCGGTGACAACAAGCCTGGCTTCCGCCTGCATCTTCCCGAAGACATTGCGAGCTTCACAGACATACAGACCCTGGTCTTCAAGGGCCACACCTGAGAGAACGAGGCAAAACTGACCACCAGGGAAGGCCCTGACCCCAGCGGCCACCAATCTCCATTTCCCTGGGCTGTGGAGAAAGCTCTCTTCACCACCATAGGCCTATGGGGACCCCATGAGATGGCAACCCCTGGGCATAGGCAGCCCCTACATCCTGATCCTTCAGAATACAGGTGGCAGGGCTGGAAGAGCAGAGAGAGGGGTCAAGAGTTTGGTACGTAGGCAGAGGGAGGGGCTGAAGGAATTAGGAAAGATCCTGTGGGGACCTGAAAAGATGGGGTAGGAGTGGGCATGGGTCAATGGCAAGCCATTTTATAAAAACAATGTTTGGGAATGATTGTAGGAAACAATGTGAATGAAGGAATGTGTAAACACAATGTACAGGAGTGAAATACAATGTATACGAATTTTGTATGCAAACCAATATAAAATAATTTTAAAAGAAAAAAATTAAAAAGTGATAGATACAGTGGATCCTTAGAAGGATGAGAAGGACTCAGAGTGCTCATCTCTAAAGTGGGAATAATTACCTGTACCATGTAGTGATGTTGAGGAGTCAATGAGACGAAGCAGTTAAAGAGCACCAGGGCTGCACTCGTTTGAAACAGGGGAAGTTGCAGCAGGAGTGGTAGAAGTGGGGAGGTAGTTAGAGGTGACAGCAATAGTAGATAGAGGCTTGGCCGCATTTACACAGTGACGGCACTTAGGTAATGCTTACCGCTTGTCAGGCACCATGCTAAGCACTTACTGAAACCTACCCAGCAACTTTGAAGGTAGTACTGTTGTACCAAGTGCCAGGTGGTATGGTCCGCACTATTATTACCGAGTACAGAATGAAGGAACCCCAGGCTCATGCAGTTAGTACATGACACCCATCAGTCTGATCCCGGCTGCTGCTGGAGGTTAGAGCCCAGCGTTGGGGTGTGGGGTGTGAGAAGCAGTGGCATCTCCTTGTCCATCCTCCCATAGCTCTGGCCCCTTACTGTCAAAGAACAGCACTCCTGGATCCGGCTGCCCGGTCCTGCCACCCTGCCCTAGTGCCTCGCCATCTCTCCGGCGCCAGGTGACAGTTGGGGGTGGGCGGCCTGTGGCCCGGCACATCAGAAGGGCACTTCTCCCCAGCTCCGTGGTGACATCTCGTGGTGGCTCCAACAGCTGGGGAGCATCTGCAGACAAGCGACCATCAGCCAGGCCCAGCAGCTGAACCCCACAACCCTGTACACCAAGGAACTGTTCCAGATGTCTGCTCTCTGCTCTCCTCTCATCACTGGGAGACTCCCCTTTTCCAGCCCCATCTGGAGACCAGGACTCTGATCCAACCTGGGCTTGGCTTACTCTACACACTTGGACGAGGACAGAGGGAGCAGCCCTTGATGAGAGAGTGGCACCACCTAGCTCTGCACCCCTAGGTGAGGTCACCAGGGGCCCATTTGGCCTAGTTGTGCAGGGGAACAGCATGCCTGCTCCTGGCTGGCACAAAGCCCACCACTGAGGGGCTGCACGTCCAGTTCAATCTTGCCTGTGGCTGGCCAGCCTGGAACCCACACAGAGGTAAAAGTCAGCCCTGCTGTCCCCCAGATGCTCCTCCCCTGCCCATCCACCTCCCTGACCACAGACGTGTCCTCTGCAAATGGGGAACCACCTCAAAGGCCAACCTCATAGACGGGGCATAGGTTATACCTCATAGGTCATAAGTCACTTGTACTCTTTTTTCAGAAAACACCTTTCTGTGTTTCCTGACCTTTATGAAATGAGCAAAGAAAACACTATTGCTGAATTAAAATATTCCCATTTTCAATAATGTGATGTTACAATGTAAGGTCCAGACCAAGACCCTCCAGAGGGTAAAACCAAGTCAGAACCAGTTGCCATGGCCTTGACCTCACCCCATGGTGACCTCTCATGTATCAGTGTGCAGCTGCGCTCCACTGGCTATTCTTTTTTAAAACTTTTTTACTGGGACTTGAGGTTAAGTCTCCAGAGCAAACCAGTTTCCTATTCAATAATTCTAACAAATTATGTTACATAATATTGATTGTTGTTGTTGTTGATTACAGTCGAGTCAAGCACAACTCATAGTGACCCTATGAACAAAAAGGCCGGAAGCCTTTCGATAACTATCATCATTTATCAAAGTTCATAGAGTTTCCAGAGGCATGTTGTTTAGGAAGTGGATGCCATTCCTGCTTCCAATAATTAATACTATTTAATTATTATATTACTTAATTAAATATTCATAGATTAATGATAAATAATAACGCTAATTACTATCCTTATATTCTAATAGCATTTCCCCCAGGTCCTCCCTTTTTAGTGACTTTTCACAAGCAGATCAGGCATTTCTTCTGACGTTCATCTGGTGGACTCTAACTCCCAACCTTTCAGCTACTAGCCAATAGTTTTAACTGTTAGCCCCACCCAGGTGTCCTCTAAGAGTAAAGGCAAGTGTATTAACAATGCTACAACAACACACCCACACAAGGATCACTTGGGCACCCTAACGTTATAAATATTTAAGCAATACATAAGGGCTAGGAAAGCCCCTAATTCTTGCCCCCCACACCCTATATTTCATACCCTGCCCCAAAGGTAGTCACTGTTAACAATGTGTGAGATTTCTTCCAAACCCATTTCTCAAAGTCTTGTGTTACTTGGAGAGATCCAGGAACAACCTCCTGGCACTGACCCCAGGTCCCTGTCCCCGACCCCACCCTGTGGAAAAACCTCCACCTCTATATTCTTTGTATCTCTCTCCAGAAATCTCCCTCATCCATCCAAACCATGACATCAACATTCCCTCTGGCTTTGGGGATTAGGGAAGTTCCAGGGAGATAGAAATACAACTTGGAAAATTTCTACAAGGAAGAAGACGGTGTTGGACCCAAGCTGAGACGCCACCCATGTGCGCTTTCCCTCCTCAGGGGGTCTGGCAGCTGGTGACTCAGAAGCCCAGAGTGCAGCAGCTCCTGAGTCTCCCAGCTGAGGGTCGCTGGTTCTGTGGAGCCCTGGCCCTAGCAGGATGGCTTTGCCTCCCTTCCTGGGCAGGCCTGAGGGTAAGTCCAGTCCCTCGCCTCCTCCATCCACCCTCAGACAGCTTCTTATGCCCCCTCCTGAGATCCCAACCACTCAGCTTTGGTTCCTTCAAAGTCCACTCTCTTTCCCACTCCATCCACCCCCAGTGCTGGTCTTGAACCTCCTACCTGGGAAGGGGCAACTCATTTATAATAAGAAGTGAATACCAGATATAAAGGATAGCATTTGGAATGTCTACTAAGCAACAAATGGATGTGATTCGAATCCACCCGCTGCTCTACAGGAGAAAGGTGGACAGTCTCCTCCTGCGCCATTTATATCCTCTGAAAACCCACTGGAGGGTCAGCTGTAAGTCACACAATGAGATTTCACCGATGCAAAAAGGGACAAGAATGCTTGCAAGCCAGGGCTTGGATGTCCTCCGGTCCATCCAGACTCCCAGGACCTCTAAGCTGCATTGGCTGCCGCCACAGTGGTCCCCCACACTCACTAGGGGAGCAGAAGGGACCTTTCCATGGCACCAGTCCAGTGCCAGGTTCCTGTTGAAGATGCCCTGGTGGCTTCCAAGGATGTTCAAGGCCAACTCCAGACTCCTCAGAAAGGCCACAGTGTCCCATGGTCCAGCTGTGCCTCCAGCCTCGTCTCCTCCATCCTCCCCCATCCATTCTCGGCTCCCTTCCTCTGAAACATTCCTGGAAAGCCCTGCCACGAGCAAGCCCTGAGGACACAGGAGGAGTCTGCCACCAAGCCCTGCCCTCCTGATGCTCAAGGCCCCAGGGAGATGCAGAATCAGATCAACACTGCCAGGTGCTCGCCTCACCCACACTATACACCCTGGGAGAAACAGTCCATGGGGGAAAAAAGCACACCTCGGGGATGGGGCTGTTCAGAAGCAAAGGTCATGTCCTCCTTGCAATGAGGCTGCTAATTCATTGCTGGGAGGCGCCCTTCAGAGGAGCTGAGGTGAGGGGGCAGCCACACTTCTTTTCCAGGGACTTTCCATGGAACACTTTCCCTGTGGACTCAATGCCCAACAGGGCTGAGCCCTTCTTAGCTCTTTTCAGTCCCCAGAGCGTGTGGCCCAAGGCGAGGGCAGGTCCTCATACTGCTCTGCCCCAGTGGGCACCTGGGGGTGTATCCCCTTGCTATTCTAGACTTCAGTGTCCTCTTCTGGAAAGAAGTAACTTTATGTCTACCTTTAAAATGCCTTACCTTTCCAGTATCTTAAAATTCCCAAGCCCTTTCCTGAAGACCCCAGGTCCTGCAGTCAATCCCCAGTCTCCCCACCTCATCCTCCCATTCAGAGCCCCCCATCCCAGAGGCAGAACTGCTGCAAGTCAAGCCAGCTCCCTAACAGGCAAGGAGGAGTGAGAGAAGCCAGAGTCTGGGGCCCAAAGAGTGTGTGCAGAGGAGCACAATGGTGAGTAGGGGCAGGCTTGGCCTCGGGCCATCTGTGTCAAGAGGGACACTGTAGACTCACGGAGTCTATGGCTGAGACAGGGCAGAGCATGGGGGCAGGTGGTGGGACATGGTCTCCACAGCCTCTCCCTCAAGGGCCAAAGAACCCTGCCCCCATTTAAATTCCCTGCAATCAAGCCATCTACACAACAACACTTGGTTCTGGAACCACCACACGGGCCCCAGGACCACGGCCCCTTCCTCCACAAAGCAAGGACGGAAGTGTTGTTTTAGGATTGCACTAGTATAAAGACAAACACAGCCCAGTCTGAATCCGTTTTTACCTGTTATTGCTGTATTTTTAAAAATTCTTATTTTTAAAAGAAATTAAAATGAGGACTTTTCTACAAGCCCCCAGCCACCTGCTACATTTGCTGGAGAAGAACTCCTGATCATGGCCACATCTGTCACACAGTGTGGTCCTGCTTCAAACCTGCTCCCCTGTCCAACAAAGGGTATTCACCCCCAAACCAAACTCACTGCCATGGAGTCAATCCTAGTGAACCTGTAGGAATTTCCCACAGGGTCCCCAAATCTTTATGATAGTAGACTGCTTCATATTTCTCCCACAGAGCCACTGACAGGGTCAAACTATCCATTTTCAGCTAACTGCTGAGTGCTTTAACTGATGTGCCACCACTGTTCCTCAGTGAGTTGTTTCACAAAATCAAAAGTCAATATCACTGCCTTGGAGTTTTAATCAACTTAAATCTCATGAGAAGAGATCTTCCATCTTTCACCCAAGGAAGAATAGCTGGTGGATTCGAACCTCCCGCCTTTGGGAGATTGGCAATGCAGGTCTTTACCCACTAGGCACCCGAGCTCCCTCGGGCCTTTAGTACCCTCTAAAGCATATACATTGCACATCTACACAGGAACCAGAAGCTTCTTGATAAAGGAAGAAGAAGCAGGGACTGAAATTTAAGGACTAAAATAGGAAGGGATGAACATTCCCTTAGAATGCAGAGATAGTTCAGCTGAGGACAGTTTTTTAAAGTCATAGAGCACTAAGGGAGCAGGTGGCCACAGCAGAACCCTGGTCACCAACCACAGGCTGGTCACTGCCTCATGGAGCTCTTGTCAGCCCAGGCCAGGTCACAGCATAGGAGACAGGGCCTGGGGGAAGGGTGCTTTGTCTAGTAATTATTCTATGCAAGTCTGAACTAAGCATATTCCATTAAATCTCTCAAGAACTCAATAAACAAGTTTCTGTTATTATCCTGATTTCACAGAAGGGGTTTTGAGGCTCAGAGATAACTTGGCCAAATGAACAGCAGGATCCAGACTGACCCAGGATTCTCGATTGCCCAAAGTCAGGCCCAGAAGATGCTGAGAAGGGCTTTGCAGGCTGGTCCACAAACACAGGCACCTGTACCAGTGCAGGGGGAGGCTGCTCCCCCTCCTGTGCCCCAGAGGCCACCAGCAAGCCAGTTCCCAGGTCAATAGCAGGAAGTAGGCATGGCTCCCAGCCCCCTGTTCCAGGAGGCTCTGCCAGGCTGGCCAGGAAGGATGTACCACAGCTGCCACCCAGATGGGCAGAAAATTCAATTTCCCACCGCCACTGCCAGGCCAGCCCACCCAAGCCCCACAGGTGCTGGGCCACTATCCAGCCCTTTCCTGACCTCTGGCCACAGTTTACTAGCAGCTCAGCGCCCCTGAATCTCTACCTTGGAGTCCCAGTCATCACCTCTCTCTGACAAGGGTACATAATTACAAGACCAAGGGGAGAGATAAAAGATCAGAACTAAACACAGCTTCCCCCATCCCAAAAGTACTGTCACGTTTCTGCTCATTCAGAACCTGCCAGCTAATAACACAGCGGCGGTTTCTGCCGGAGCCCACTGTGGCCCAGGCTGTCTACCTTCTCACTCCCACATTTCTGAGACCATTTTACAAATGAGGAGCCTGAGGCTCAGAGAGGAGAAGTGGTCAAGCTAACCTGGCCAAGGGGCAGCCAGTGGGGAGCTGACCATCTGCAGCTCCATCCCTGGAATCCCCCATGTGCAGAGATGCGTGGCAGAGACTCAAGTTTAGGTTCCATCTCTGCCACTTGCTAGCTGAGTGATGCTGGTCAAGTCACTTAGTCTCTCTGTGCCTCATTTTCCAGGTCTATAAAGTGACTAAATATCATGCACCTCAAAGCATTGTTGAGAATATTAAATAAGTGAGCACATGAAACATGCTTAAAGCAGACACTGTATTTGTTGTTTGGTACAGTCAAGTTGGAACCGATTCATAGCTAATTCTCCAGCAGGTTTTCAGAAGCAGTATATCACACAGGAGGAGATTGCCTATCCTTCTCCTGTGATGTAGTTGGTGGATTCAAACTGTGTGCCTTTGGGTTGGCAGTGCAGCTCCTTACCACTAGGCCACCAGAGCTCCCTAAGGCAGGTACTGGCACAGGGTAAATAGCATAGAAGTGTTAGCTGATATTTTTATTATTGTTAGTGTCAGGCCCCCAAGCCCACAGCTTCTCACACTCAGCCCCCTCCACCCAAAAGTCCAATCTCTGTAAGAAAAATCTGAGTATATTTTTCCTTAATGCCTTCCAACACCATTTGAAGGATGGAGTCCAATCTCTGGTGCCGAGGTCTCGAGGCCTGAGGCCCAGGAACTGGTACCACAACAGCTAGAGCCTGACCTCGCCCATCCCTTCTGAATCTAATCCCTTCCTTTCTTCTTGTGCCCTATGGGGTCCCTTTGGCTGGAGCCCAGCTCCCCAGCTCTTCACCTGACTGAGACCTCTAGTACCAGCCTGGACATACATCCAAGACACCCTGTCAGCCCCACTGTGAGGTCATCCATGTTCTGGGTCCCTACACACCACCAACACCAGAATCCCACTAGTGTTTACTCTTCTCTCACCTGCCTTCCAAAAACAACCTGCAGGCAGAAATGTATCATGCCTGCCATTGTACCTGCAACTTGGGGCCTGGCACATGGCCCCAAGTATTGGACGCTGGATATTGAAGTATTTTATATGTATTGAAGGAATGAGTGAGGGAACAGATGAAGAAATGAAGGCAAAAGGCATTCCAGGCCTGGAAGGACCCTATCCTGAGATAGTACCATTCCCACTGGGGGACCAGGCCCTCCTAACTGGACTGACTCCAGGCCCCAGCTAAGTACTCTAGTCTTGGCTTTCTTGAGGAGCCTTTAATCCATTCCCCAAACCTGGCTCTGCCCATCAGCTGGCCAGGACGAGCACATTCTCAATTCTCTGTATCTCCCCAACTCCCAGCACCTGTCTTACCACCAGAGTCCAGCAAACCCCCAGAGCACAGTCCATCCAGCTTAGCAAGCCAAGAAACTGTGCCCACGGCTATCAAGCATTGCCCAGGGCCTAGGACCCAGGCCTGGCACTTAAACATCACAGAAATCCCAGACAAGGCTGGGCACTCAACACAGGAAACTTTCAGGCTTCTTCTCTGTAGATGGGGTTTAATAATCCTTTTGTTTACTGTCGGTCAGACCCTGTGCTCAGAACTCTTCACCCAAGTTCATTTAACCCTCACAGTAATTCAATGAGAGTACCGATGGTCAGCCAGCCCCGTTATATAGAAGAGGAAACTGAGTCTTGACAGCTTGACTAACAGAATCAAGACTAGAAGAACTCCAATGACTGCATGAAACACAATGTGAATGAAGAAGTGTGGGAAACACAATGTATACAAACTTTGTAAATCAATATAAAATAAAACAAATATAAAAGACTAGAACTCATATTTCAAGATGGCAATACCCAGGCTACCAAGTAGACCCTAAAAATGCTCACTTCTTGGTCACACCCTTACTCAGTTAGTCCTTCCCATAGGGTTAGTCTGTGTAACCAATAAAATAAAGAAGTCATGGTGTGTCACTCCAAGACCATAAAGGACTGTGTCTTCCATTGTGGGTTCTTTGACAAATTCTCTCTCTTTGACTCTCTCTTTCTTATCACTTGCTCTAGAAGGGAAGTAATGAGAAGAGTAGCCTTCTGGAGAGATGGGAAGACATACAGGATGAGGAACTGAGGTCACCTCAAGTCGAGATCAGATGACCACAGCCTTGACAACACATTGCTGATGATCTCGTAAGCGACCCTAAGCCAGAACCATCCAGTAAAGCTGCACCTTGACTCCTGACCCTCAGAAACTGTGAGGTTATAAATATGTGTTCTTTAAGACACAAAGTTTCTGTGTTAACTGTGTTAACTCCTACACTGTTGCCTTTCCAGGCATCCCTAGTCCAAAACGCTCTGAGTTCTGATGATGGGAATCCCATGTTGCCAGGCTACGTGGTGGAATTCTCTCTTCCCTTTCAAAGGCAGTTCACAGAGCTGGAGGTGGTACAAGGATGGGGAAGGTGGAGACAAGGTGCCCACTCACATCCGACTTCCAACCGGATTTCCGCAGAGGCGTCACCCAGCTCATTGACCGCTCGGCAGGTGTAGACACCAGCATCCCTCTCCTTAGCCGCTGGGATCCGCAGGGTCCTGGAGCTGAAGCCCTCTGGGGCCAGAATAATTTCACGACCCTCTAGACCAAAGACAAGGAAGTACCAGGGTGTCAGCTTGCTTGAAGATTCTGTGACTCCTTGAGGTCAGCGTCCTGGGATGAGACTGAGATAGGGGTGAGGGCTAGGGCTGCTAGAACCAACGATCCCACTTACACACCCGTTCTCATGACTGTCCAGGGAGTGAGCATTCTGGAGATCAAGTTTTCCAGGCCCCCAGACCCCTCCCCTTCCAGCATACCTCGATACCAGATGACTCGGGGTGGGGGCATCCCAGACACGTCACAGGCCAGTACAGCCTCCTGGCCGACGGCAGCAACAACCACGGCATTGACAGCAGAGACGGACGGTAGGTCTGCAGGGGTGGGGGGACCAGCCCTGAGAGGACACAGATGGAACTCCGCCCTGCCCCTCCCTCTCTCCCATTCAGCAGGGACAGTCACTCCAGAAAGATCTAGCTACAACTGGTTGTTTAGAAGCTTCCCACCCAGATCCTTAAACTGAACCACTTTCCTGACCAAAATCCCCCACAAACTCCCTCTTACTTCTCATTTAATCTGGAATAAAAGCCAAAGTCCTATAAGGTTCCAAACGACCACCTACATAAGAAGCCCACCCCACACCTTCTCCCCTCTGCACTCTGTGCCCAGTCATTCCACCCCAGGCTCCTCGAAGCCGCTTGAACACGCTAGGTCCACCTCCACTCAGGACCTGTGCCTCCCATTCACCTCCCCCGGGAATGCCAGTGACACCTCCTCAGAGTCACAGCCCTCTCATGCCAACAGCTCACTGCTCTGTTTTCTTCAAAGGACTCCCACCATCAGACAGTATCTTACTGAGTTCTCTATCTGCATGTTGTTTTCTGTTCCCTCCCTTTAAAAAGCACCACCTGTACAGGGTCCATGTGCTCACTGCTCTACCTCAGGGTCTAGGCACATAGTAGATGCTCAATAAAGATTCATTTAAGAAGTCAAGGGGGAGATGCTGGCATGCCCAGGGCCGGAGTACCTGTGTAGTACAAAGTGATGGTCTTCTCATCCATGCCAACCTCGTTGGCAGCCTGGCAGCTGTAATTCCCAGCATCCTCTGGGGCTACTTCCCGAATGATCAGTGTTCCCTGGGCATCCACAAGGACTCTGGAGTCATGCCATAAAAACATAACCCCAAAACAGGGGCTGGTTAGCTCAGGCCACACAGGGGCTGCTCTGCTCCACAGCTACAACGAATAATAAATTAATTTACAACATCCATGTGATAATAGTTGTTATTGCTAGGTGCTGTCGAGTCTGAACCACAGAGGCTCTATGAACAACGGATCTGATCCCTGTCCTAGCCCGTGCCGTCACTGTGTTAATCTGGTTGAGAGTCTTCTGTTCTTTCACCAACTCTTTTCAAGCATAATGTCCCTCTTCAAGGAATAACCTCTCCTAACATTCCCAACATTTATGAGGTAAAGCGTCATCATCTTTGCCTCCAAGGAGCGCTCAGGCTGCACCTTCTCCAAGACCATATCTGCTGGTTCTTCTGGCCTTCCATGGGATATTCAGGACTCTGATCTAACACCACAGCTCAAAACATCACTTCTACTTCTGTCATCCTTAGTCATTGTCCAGCTCTCAGATGCATAGCAAGTGACTGAAAAGATCATAGCCTGAATCAGGTGCACCTTAGCACTCAAGCTGACATCCTTGCTCCTCAACAATTTGGAGAGGTCCCTGATTGAAGACTTTCCCAATGCAATACATCTCCTGATCTCCTGACTGCTTGTACCAAGGGTGTTGATTGTAGAGCCAAGTAATTGTTGTTAGGTGTCACGGAATCTACTCTAATTCCTAGCGACCCCATGTACCACAGAATGTGTTAACATTCTGATCCTACACCATCTCCAGTATCCCTAGTGACCCCATCCGCCAAAGACCATCATTCTACAAAGCTGTGTGCTGGGTACTGCATATACATTATCTTATGACATTCATAAAGCTCAGAGGAGTGACCCAGGACTTGTCTGAGGTCGCTCGCCTGTATGGTCAAGATTTGACCACTGAGCCCACAGTGTTCTCAGGGCTCACATGACCCCAGAGTATGCGGATATCAAAGTTATTGTGGACCCTCCCTCTATTTACAGGCAAGAAGACTGAGGCCCACGGGGACAATATGCCAAAGTGTCCAGGAATCTGCCGTCACAGAGCCAATCCCCTACTCCTCTCACCTGCTGTCCTCTTGCAGGGTGCGACCCTCTCGGCTCCAGGAGATGTGAGGAGTGGGGTACCCAGAGGCTGAACAGCTGACCCTCACTTCCACACCCTCAGAGAAGCGCTGGGACCTGGTGTGGATGCTGACCTGTGGGGCCTCTGGGATCAAAGAATAAACAGGTGGGGACAGCCTGTCAGCGCAGCCACGCTTCCCAGGCACCAGGCCCACCCCCTCCCTGGTCAGTAAAGATGGATGAGACAGAGCAAAGGCACAAGGGTCCTGAATGTCCAGAAGTGGCTTCCCTGGGGATAGGTGGACCAGCTAGACACCCAGAGCACATCCTGAGTCATGTGGGCAGAGGGTTCCGCAGCACCCTCCCCGAGCTGCAAGCTCACTAGAGCCCTGATCAGAGAGGTGTTCAAGGCTGGCTTGGTTCCCACCCCCAGGGAGCATTAGGAGAAGTTCAATGCTCGCCCTCAAACAGGCCCCAACTTGGGCTCAATTCTGGTTCTCTGAGGCTCACCACAGACTTGTCAGGCTGTAACAGACTTCTTGGCCACCTAGTCTAGGAAGGGCTAACACATCCTCCACCTGGTGGCAGACAACATTAACAGACCTTCCTGTGAACTTGTGGCCTCAGAACCTTCTTAGCAAGAGTAGCTGATGTGGGAGAGAAGACTTATTCCAACACTCTGTGTTTGCACTTGTGGAAACAGCAGCCTAATGCAAGATTTGTCTAGATTCTAACTGGACCTGAGCTCCCTAACACCCAGTGCTCTTCCCACTGCCTTCTCTACATCCTCTCCCAAAGATACCTGATCTCTGGGCTTTAACAAATTTCCAGTAGCCTGATAGCTGCCCTTCACTGTCAGAAAGCGACGAGGAGAAGGACCATAAAGATACCTGATGGCAGGAGAAAAGGACAGGATATGGAACCAATTCTGTGACAAAGGCTTAACTTTTGGTTTTATAGCAGTAGAAACTCAGGATACACATGAAGATGAACTTCCCCACTGTGAGGAACACTAGACTTTTAGCATCGGTGGCCAAGGAAGATGAAAGATTTAGCATTAATGTTGCCTGCCAGAGATGACGTCTGATGTCTCTTGAGGGAAAAGCAAGGTAGAGCATTGAACTATGGGACAGTAGTGCTAAGAAGGAGCCTCACCTCGCACCAGGAGCCAGATGGACGCCCTGGTGACCCCATTGGCATTGCTGGCCACGCACTGGTACTGCCCACCGTCGCTAGGGACGATGTCACTGACTTCCAGAGATAGGTTGGCCAACTGGGTGACGCGGCCCACAGATTCCGGCAGGACCCGCCAGTCATGAACCCAGGTCAGGTTGTAGGGGGCCTCACTGAGGACCTGACAGGACAGGACGACAGTCTCCCCCAGGGACACGGTCACGTTGGGGTCAGGGACCAGCTGTGGTGGGGGATCTGCAGGGATATGAGGACAGGGGCATCTGAGATACTGACAGCAACAGTTGATCATCTTGCAGGCCTCCACAGGCCCCATCCTGAGGCTCTGGTCATCCCCCACCACTCACGACATCCCTGAGGACATGTCAGCTGTCAGGGCAGCTACCCAGCATCTGCTCTCCAGCCCTGGGATGGTGCCATCCTGGGGAGGGCCCCCAGCCGTCACGCCCTCCCAGGACTGCCTGGCATGTGTGCACCGTCCACGCCAAAGCCAGCAGCAATAGTTAACAAGCACCCCACTATTCTTCACACCCTCTGAGCCGATAATTCCACGCTGGGGAATAAAACCTCAGAAATAACCCACAAGGACCAAAGCATGATGTGGACAATGCTGTTCTCTGTGCAAACAGCAGGGCTATTTATAACAGCCAAAATTTAGAAGTACGGTGACCGTCCCATATGAGGAGCGAGCTAAGCAAATAGCTCTCCTGATAGGAAAAAGCTGGCAAGAGTGCAACACGTTCAGAAGCCTCTGAATGAGTAGGAAAAAAGCAGGGACAAAACAGACGTCCAGAAGTAAACCGCCAGGACTTTCTTCCTAGTCTGAATTCATCTGGAAATCATCATTATAACACACAAACCTGTGTTAAATTGTTAAATCTGATTCTGTTCCCTTTACTCACAAGCTTACCTTTCTTGCTGAGGGTTTGTGAGGAATAAACTCAGTTTGTATTTCATAAGGGGAGAAACTGTTACATTTAAGTAATCAGTGCAGCCATTTCTCCACAAGATTGTCTCTCCTTTTCTGTACTAGGGAGCTCTGGTGGCCTAGTGGATAAGCAGTTGTACTGCTAGCCCAAAGGCAAGTGGTTTGAATCCACCAGCTGCTCCTTAAAGGAAGACAGTCTTTTCCTGTGCCATTTACAGACTCTGAAAACCTGCTGGAGGGTCAGCTCTGAGTCGGTGGACTCAGTAGCAAACAACAACAAGTAAAATATCATAAATTTCTACCGTAGAAGTAAATTTGTTGACATGGTATAATATTGAGTGATATAAAGGAGGTTATAAGCCAGTATACTATTAACCCATATTTTCAAAATGCAAGCATAAGAGTAGGTCTGGGATAGACTAGATGAAAATGCTATTGAGATTATCACTAGAATAGAAGGATTATATGTTTCTTTAATTTTCCTTTTGCTTTTTTATATTTTCCAATTTTTCTACAAAGAACATTTGTCATTTCTTCTGCTTTCATCTTTTTTTTTTTTAAGACTATGGAATGTGGTGTGACTAATCTTTCCACATCCATTAGATTCTTCTTCTTTTCAAGACAGCTGAGGTTTATAATATAAAGGCAATTTCCTTTTGTGCTGTCATGTGGCATTTTCGGCCTTCCCTGCACTCGGTGCTGCTGTCCTGCTTGGCGGACTGGAGGCAACATGGGGCATCAAGGTCCCTGGAAGTGCCTGGGGTCAGTCACACCTCAAGGGCCAGACCAAGAAGTTAGGGGTGGGGTTAAGGCTAGACATTTCAAGCCTTCTCAAAGGTGCTCAACAGAGGCCCTCAGGCCATTCCCAGGGGAGACAGTCCTGAGCAAGGGCCTGCAGGCAGAAAGGGAGACAGCCCTGACCAGGGGCCTGTAGGCAGACAGCAGTGAGGACAGCCAGGCTCTGGGCTGGAGGGAGTTCCCAGCCACTGGCTGGCAGGCACACTATCTCATAGATGAGGACACCCCAGAAAGAAATTCCAGCGGGAAGAATCTGGGCTGGAAAGGAGAGGGACCCCGAAAGAACAGACCTGTGACAACAATCTGGGACTTGGCTCGTCCGGTCCCAGCCTTGCTGACCGCTGTGCACTCGTAGGTCCCCTCCTCGGCCTTGGAGGCCCATGGGATCTCCCAGCTGCTGTTTCCCGATTCCCTGCAAACAGGAATCAGCGAGAGATGCAGTATCACATTGATCCCCGTCAGGGTTCCCTCCCCAATCTCTTCCTTGGATCTCACCCAGATGGGAGATCTAAAATCTTCTATGAGCCTTAGAAAGAACATTCAATAGTCAAGACTTTGCAAATCTCATGATCTACTGTGTGACTCTGGGCTTTTCCCTTGTCCTCTCTAAGCTGTTGTAGACTTACTTTCATGTAAAGAGGGAGGTCCTTCCTGCCTTGACCCCACAGAGCTCTGCCAGTGGCCGGGCCGTGTGTGGATGTGTTTGCAGAGGCTGGGTAAGGCCCACATCTCTTTGATGGGAGGTGGTCCAGCAGCCGTATGAGTCTTGGGACTCCCTCTTCCTTAAGCCCAGGAGGACAAGATGCCTGACACTACATGCCCTGTCTTGCCATTCACTCTCTTCAGACTTTCAAGGGCATTAGGGTCTCAAAAGCCCTGGGGGTGGGGCCACTGGGCTGGCCATTGGTCACTCACTGGAAGTGCCTCTCCTCGCCCAGCTTGGTTCCATCTCGTCGCAGCTGCAGCCTGAAGGGGAGAGCACTGTGCACGGAGCAGGAGACCAGCAGGGGCTGCTGCAGGTAGCCATGGATCCTGGGGGGCATGCTGACCAGAGGGGCACCTGAAGGCAAGAACCTGGACTCACAGCCTATCCTCCCCACGCCCCACTACATGGAGACCCCCAGGAGGAAATGGGAATCAGAAGATCAGGATACCAGCTTTGGCTCCATTGGCTGGGAGCCACTGCAAACAGATTCACCTCACTAGGCCTCAGTTTCTTCCTCTGTGAAATGGGAATTATCACGTGCTGAGCTCAGCCCATTGTTGTGGATGTGGGTGAGTAAAGACACATGGAAGGGCTTGATATCAAACAGGATGCCTGGAGAGCGTCATCAACTGAAGCCAGTGCTACTTTCTGGTTTGTGAGAGTATTGAACTGGAGATTGGCTGGAGGGATAAGCCCCTTCCTGACTCTGGGTCACCATTTGCTCAATTGTATTTGACGGGAAAGTTAAACTCCTCGTGAGAGCTCAGGAAATACCCAACAGGTGGGACTGGCACCCTGGGGATTAGGGGGCTACAGCCTGTTCTACCCAGAGATATTGGAGGGCAGCCTTTTCATTGAAAAATAAACATTGCTGAATGCAAAATTAATACACATTTTTAAAATGCAAAATTCATACACATTTTTAAAGATAAAACAATAGACTTGAGTGAAATCTCAGAGCTGTGATAATCCCCTTGGGGCCCGCACCAGACGTGACTGCCTCCCCCGCCCCCCGAGCTAGCAGTTGTGGGATGACACATTTGCTTTCCTTGGCTGTTGGAATGACTTCAGTGGAAAGGTCTGAGGAACTCCACCTCAGGGTCAACCGCAGCCGAGAGTGCCTCACTTGGTGACCCCTCGGGCCTGCAGTCAACTTCTTGGGCTGTCCCCTTTCCCCTCTCCCCACCAAAGATGCTCCACGGGTGAGACAATGTGCCAGACCTCCTCAGAGCACAGAGCTGGAAGTGGGGAGGGAGAGGGTGACATCATGCTACAGGCTCCCTGCCACATCCCGGGGGAGACGGGTGTCAGACCATTTAGCCACATCCCCAGCTGTGTGCAGCTCAGCCGCCACTCACCCACACACACTGGCAGCCTCAGCACAATCAGCTCAGGCTTCTGGTTCCATTTAAAAAAAGGGAGACTCGGGGACTCCCCAACCCCAGGTCCAGCGCCACAACCCCTTATCTCCAAGCTCAGAACCTTCTGCTGGAAGCAGAGCTTCCAGCTTCCCAGACCTGATCAGGGAGCAAGTGAAAGATAAAAAAAAACCATGCTCCCTCTTTCATCCAGAGCTGAGACGGAGGCCAAAAGTCAGAGCTGAACTCCAAACCCTCAGATCCATCTGAAAGAGCAGGCCGTTCCTGCCTCTCTGAAATTCCTTCCTGAAAATTCCTCCTCAAAGTCTGTAAAGACCGAAGGGAAGAGAGGAGGCCCAGACCCCTCAGCAGGGGTGTGGAGGCCAGGAGGTTGAGAAGTAGGGGTCTCAGCTCCCCTAGCCAGCCCTGCCAAACTCTAACCACAAGAGGGATATCTTCTCTCTCTATCTTGGTGGTGAAGGAGATATCCCCTCACAGAGATCCCTGGCAAGAAACATCAGAATGCCAGTAACATCCACCTCCGTGCGCTCCTCCCAGGCTACCTCTGCGGGAAGAGGATGAGTGGGCAGGAAGAAGGCAATGGCAGCTGCCACACGCAGAGGGCCCTGATCCATGGCTCCTACTACTTGAGCGCAGCCTCTGAGTACCAGTGTGCTATCTCATTATGCAAATCCATTTGGGGAGCCCTCAGCAACCCTGCAAGGTGGGCAGTTTCAGTTTTCTCATCTATAAAATGGGTACATGGCTCATAACTGTAAGTATTCAACAAACTAATAATCCCTGGCAATGACTGGCCTGGGGGAAGTGCTCAAAGATCACATGAGAATAAGTATTATCATGACGATAACAGATCAACTAGTCAAGTCTTCCTTGCCCATTGTTGTGTCTCCAGTGCCTCACACCATGATTGAGTGATTATAGATGCTCACAGTAAATGATGAATGAATGGATAGTTGGATGGATGGATGGATGGATGGAGTCATGAATGGATGGATGGATGGATGGATGGATGGATGGATGGATGGATGGATGGATGGATGAATGGATAGGTGAATGGACACATGGATGGATGACTGCACTAAACTCTTGACCTGAGTGAGGACCACATCTGAAGCATCTTCTATATTTACTATAATGCCTTGTAAGGAAGAGTTACCCATTGAAGCTTGATGAGCAAAAACATTCTAATTGGGGAAGTCTTTCAGGAAGAGACGGGCCTCCATGGGAGCCAGCTGAGGTGGAGAATAAGAGAGCTGACCACTTACCTGGGGCCACTCCACTGTAGGCCACTCCAGAGACACGAAGAAGGGTGTTTCCCTCATGGTCCTCACCCTTCACCTTGAGGTAGAAGCGCTCCTGGGGGACTTGAAAGGGTGGCCCACCCCACAACTGATGGGTAGATCCATTGGAAAGGGGTTGCACGGGCAACGTCAGGAGGGACCGTCCTGAGCTGTGTGAGAGCTCCACTGAGTCCAGGCGTCCAGGTGTCTGCAGGCCAGTGGAGTTGATCACCAGCGAGATGGGCACCCCTGCAGAGGGAAGGGTGTGGAAGGAGGCGCTGGTATCTGCAGTAGGCTCCCAATCCTCCTCAGGCAGGAGCCTTTAAGCCACACCTGTGGACCCAGCCTTCCATATGTACCCCTGTTCCAACAACAACCTCCTGTTGTTGTTGTTGTTGTTGTTGTTGTTGGCTACCCTCAAGTCAGAACCGACCCATAGCTGACCTCAAGCTTTTGAGGCAGTTAATCACACGGGAGGAAACTGCTCGTCCTTCTTTCACAGAGCAGCTTTTGGATCTATATGTATCCCTGTTCCAACTAAAGCTAGGGGGACGATAAGGGAAAGGGGCCTTTGTTGCTGTCCATGGTCCTGAAACACCCCTGTCCATCCAAGCCATGTTTCCCAAGTGGTTGAACTGCCTCCTATCTCCACAGATTCCGTCTCTCGTGGAGTAGGACTGGGAAGGGGCCTCTCTATACACTATGGGCCCCATCAGCTCTGGGGTTGGCTAACACCAGATAGACTTCTGGAGACAGCCTGTGATGAGGCACACTTCCTGGTTTGGGAACACTCACTCCTGCCCAATCTGTCCCAAGGGCGGCTTCTCTTTGATTTTTCTTTTCTATCTTGATGTTTTCAAGCTATCCCAGAGAATATCAAACTGGACTCAGGCTTCTTAATTTCCTTGGGTGATTTTGGAACCTTGGTGAGGTCTACTCCCTCTTTTTATTCTTTCTCTCTTTCTTTTTCAGAGTTCACAAACTAGAGTCTTGTGAATGTGATTAGTTTGATCCACAAAATACTTTAAAATGTTTGAAGAAACACTGAACAATCTGGAAAGTGCATACAAAAATTTGAAGGTCTAGATTAAAAAAAATGAAATGTGGGAGAAAAGTGCAACAATGAATGAATGGAAATCAAAAATCTCTGTAAATGTTCATTAAAATTAATAAAAACAAAAAGAAAGAAATGTTCCCATCCTGGGTCCCTAGCCTCACATTGTGACAATGGCTTTTGGCACCTGCTGGCTGCGCTCTGGTTGAGGAGTCTAGTGCCCATTTAATCACAGTCTCCTCCATTCTCTGGTGCCTCCTGCACTGGAGCCAAATGTCAATCATTATTTGTCATTGCAACTTCCCTGTTGCTTCCTCTTATAAAAATGTCTCGGACTCAACATCTTTGTCAATAGCAGAAATTTTTAAAAGGTCACATGGCTCCCAGCGTCCACTTGCACTGAGAACTGACCTTGTGGACATTTCCATTTTATCCCACAGACTACAAAAAAAGCAACCAGATGTATATTGGAGAAAGTGCAACCAGAGTGCGCCTTGGAGGCAACAAAGCTTCTTCACACATACTTTGCACATGTTGTTAGGAGAGGTTATTCCTCAGAAAGGGAGATGATGCTTGGAAAGGTGGAGAGTCAGTGAAGGAGAGGAAGACCCTCAGCCAGATGGATTGATACAGTGCCTGTGGCAAGTGTGTGAGCGTGTGAAGGGATGGTGCTGGATAGGACAGGGTTCAGATCTGCTGTTCACAAAGTCACCATGCGTCCTACACGACTTGTCAGCACCTAACATCCCCATCCTAATACTACATTTCGGGATTTATTTTCTCCTAAAGATTGGCTTTAGAGCAGAAATTAAGTTTCTCTGCTGCTCCTTCTTCTTGTCGTGGGCAAAACAAACACAAAATGAGCCAGCAGGCCCCTTTCCGCTTTAGATATCACTGCTAGTCCTGGCAGGAAATCTGAAGAGGGCTGACAAGACTAGCAAACATGACAAATTATAGACTCAAAAGAAAGACCTAAGGCCCCGGCACACATCACCCTTGTCACTATTAGTCAATGACCCATAGAAGCAGCTTGACACACTTCCCAGCCTCTCTTCTGAGTTGTCTCTGCAAATTCTGCCAAATGGTCCCTTGGTGGAGGATCATACTATCCAGCCCCTCATCTGTCCATCAGAGAGCATTTTCTGGGTAGAACTCATGTCGGCTCAGCCAGCACTCCTGTCTGCTCTGGGGCTCATCCATCTTTAAGAATCAGTACTCAGACCCAGAAGTCAGCTTCAACAGGGAAATGCTGATGACCCTATCGCTGATGACTCTATGCCTTGAGCTTCAATATCTTCCCAGTGTTCCAACTCCCATCATCCTCTGGGGAGTCTGAATGCCTGCCAGGAAGCCCATTCCTTTGTCGTTAGACCTCGGTGTCCTTTGAGGCCCAACTATCAATTCATTAGCACACATTTAACGCAACACTTGGAGCCATCAGTCAGGAAATCAAAAGACTAATGGCATTAGGAAAGTCTGATGTCAGGGACCTCTCCAGAGTGCCAAAGAGCAAAGAGGTCCGTCTAGAGACCAAGGTGCACCTGATCCAGGCCATGGTCTTTACAATTACTTTGTATTCATCAGAGAGGTGGACGATGAATAAGGATGACAGAAGAAGAATTGATGCCTTTGGGTTGTGGTGCTGGACAAGAGTACTGAATATACCATAGACTGCCAAGAGAACAAATAGGTTTGTCCTGGAGAAGGCGAAGTCAAATTGCTCTCTGGAAGCAAGGACTTTGAAATTCCATCTCAGATACTTTGGATATGTTGCTAAGAGGGACCAGTCCTTGGAGAAGGACATCATGGAAGGGTGGAGGGACAGCTCAAGGGATGAAAACCCTGGATGAGAAGGATTGACACAGTGACTGAGGCAATGGAGGCAGATGTGACAGTAACAGTGAGATTGTCTCAGGACAGAGCAGAGCTCAGAGCTGTTGTGTATAGGCTTGCTATGAGTTGCAGGTGACTTGACAGCACATAAGAACAACAATAAGCTAGTATTTACTGGAAAAATAGCATATAGGACTTTAGACAAACAAGAATTTTGAAAAAAAGAAAGAGGAAGTAGAGCCCAGAGTATAGTAGGGTTCACAGATGCAGGTGGGAAGGACAGGGGTATGTTGTAATTTAAGTTATATCCAGGTTTCTGTTAATGGTGACAAAAAGTAAACTGGGAATGGATGGGGGTGCCAGGTTGTATACCATCATAAGCATTAACATCATTGATTCAACAGTTGGAATAGTAAATATTGTGCTTTTTATGTATAACCATGATAAACAGAGAAGCAATGAAAAAGTGAAAAAAGGGACAGACACAAACTCAATGATAAAGAAGACAGAACAGAGGTCCTGGGGACTCTGGTTGTGCAGAGGGTGTTCTAAGGACAAATTACCCCAGTGTGGCATGAGCTGGGGCTGATGGAGGTACCACTGGGCCTGGAGCTCTATTTGCATGACTATGATGTGTGAAGTGACCTAGTGTTAGCCTCTGTTATTTCCAGTTACACATAGACAACCAAGCCCAAACTCACACTCCCAACCACTTCCCAAATCCAAGTCCCATCTCTTCAAAAGATGACTCAACACATCTCCTAGGCCAAGACCACAATACCTTGCAAAGGCCACTCGATGGTGTGATTGAGGTCCAGAGAGGGCTGCGTGGAAAAGCCGGCTCGGAAGTCAATGTCACTGATGCCTGTGATCCTCACGGAGTGGCGGCCGCTGCTGTAGACCTAGCACAGGCCCAGGTCCCACATCATCAGAGTTCAACCCCAGCACCTCTGGCCTAAAGGAGGAGGCCAACCTGACCACATACAGCGGCGAGAGTCGACCACGCCTGGGAACAGCCTTTGCAGACAAGAGGGTAACTTGCCTCCCCCTGGGGCACCACACTGACTCCAAACCATTCCACATAGCTTCCTCTCGCTAGTGCAAAACAAAATGCCCCTCCCTTATTTTGAGTTCTTTGCTCCTATTTCTATGCCCTAGACATCACTGCCTAACCACAGTCCTCAACTTCTCAGGGCTTCAGGTACCCCAGAACAGGGAAAAGAGAGAAAGAGTCCCAGATCCAAAGTGAGGTTCTGCCAGCCCAGCATGCCCTACCTTGATGGACCACAGCCCGGGATGCTCAGGTTTAAAGGCCACCACCTTGGCCGAATCAGGGATGTTGAGGAGGATGTTAAGACCCTCATCCTTCTTCAGGATTCTCCCTGTGAGACCCCAAAGATCAGGTTAGTCTCCAACCCTCCCAAGGGACGCTAGGAGCCCCACTCTATCCCTAGGAACCCATGTACCATCAAACACTTGCTTCAGATATCCTGGGGGACCTGAAAGGAGAATATTTGATGGTCCCTAGCCTCCTTCTGTCCTTCACCCTTAAACCTCTCCAAGTGCTGGCTGTACACCTGCTTCTAGGTCTGGATATTTATGGCAACCTCACAGCTTTTGGGAGTCAAGTGACCAGATCCAGATCACAGTGACCCTGACTGGCTGGGTGACCAGGGTAAGTCACTTCCCAGCTTTCCATTTGAAAATGCACTGCTTGTTCTTGCCCTGATCAATCCTCAGGGTAGTTGTATGGAAAACTCGGTGTGACCCTAATTGTTTTAACTCCTGTTTTTCAGCTGTCACTTGTTGACCTGCCTCCAGAGCCACCAAGGGCATCCCCTTCACCATCCCCTCGGGAAGCCTTATTCCTGGAACCTGTGTCTGAACCCCTTGGTCTCTTTTCTCATTCCACCCTGAGCTCCCAGGCCAGTCTCAAGAGCAAATAGTAAGTCCATTTAGGGGTCACACATACCCAGTGGGTCGCGGACCTCAATCTCAGGTCCTGGTCCACTCAAGGAGATAGTGACTTCCTTCAGGCTGGGGTCAAAGGGGAGCCTCCACATGTGTTCCCCCTTCTCCTCATGGTCTGTGGACAGCAGGTGCACCTTGGAGGTCTGGATTGCTGACTCCACCCACTTCAGAACCTGAGGAGACAGATATAAGAAGTGATGCCAGCAGGTATCCATAGGTGGGATCCTTTACTGGCTACCAGGTGCAAGCAGAATTCTTTGTCGTGGGTCTTGATGGTATATAGAGGCCTTCCGGGTCAACTGAGAAACAGACTACCTTCTATTGCCTACACCAAGCTCTACTCACACATGGCGATTCTCCTGGCTGCTGTGGGCTCCAAGTCTTGACACTTGAACCGAGGCATCCAATGGACTCAATGTGGTGGAGGGAGAGAAAATCAAGGGGTTCCCTGGGCTGGGAAGACACTTGCACCTTTTCACGTGGCGACTCTTCCTATCCTCATCATTTCCTCTAAAATGCCTTTTTTTTTTTTACAGAGGTTTTGGATTTCCATTCATTCATTGCCGCAGTTTTCTCCCTTCCCACCCCTCCCCACCAGCTCACTTCCCCCTCTGAAGAGAGGAAAAAAAAATAAAAATTCTTTCATTAGTATACAATTCCCACGTCCCTTCCCCCCACCCCCCACCCCGAGTACACTTCTCTATGCAACCTTAATTCTGGATTCCTGTGCTAACCATAATACTCAATCATATGACAGAAAAAAACTGGATAAATTATGTATATTGTATTGAAAGAGATGAGGGAAAGAACAGATTAGAAGGGAAGGTGGATTCTTTTGATTTGATGAGAATCAGGTGAGGTTTGGTTGGTTGGTTGGGTTTCGTTTTGTTTGTTTTTGTTGGTAATAGGTGTGAGCTGATTGGATTTGCCAGTTTCACTAACAATGAATGACCTGTAGGCTGGAAGCCTCTTGTCTAGAGTCAACCAGAATTTGGTGGGTCGGCCTTATATTTAAAAGGCTGTTGGGCCCGAGGGCTGAAAATCCATCTAACTGATACAGAACGGGCTGTCAATATGCTACACTGAAGTAACTTCGGGCTACTGTGATGCTGAATGCTGTGCCGCTGGAGTGTCAAATGCTTAAAATGCCTTCTTGATGCCTCCTGAATGTGGATGGACCCTGGAGAACTGAAACCTCCCCTAAGTCATGTAGCTCATGCTCACCCAGCAAGGGGTCTCACATTTGGCCCAGCAAGAGCACCACGCTCTTGAAGTAGAACCATAAGGATCTACAAAGTCAACTCATAAAAGACAAGAATTAATGGATTGACTTTTCACAATAGTGATAAATATTAAATCCTTAGCTTCTATAATTGCTCATTTGCTATAAAACCTTACATGTTTTGGACAGATCGCCTTAAGAGTTAAACAAAAATTGAAGGCCTTCTTCCTAGACTACTATACCAGTTAGTTATTATACTTTTAGGTATGATGGAGGGAAAGAGCCAAAAAGAAATATATCATTAGGTATTGTTTGCATGATAATAGTCCAGAATAAGAGCTACATAATAGAGGACTGGGGGGTGGGGGTGCAAGGAAGAAATTGTGCAATAATGAAAGAATCTTTTTAAAAAGAAAAGTGGAATGAGAGCAGGGGTGTAGGGAGGAAAATGTACAACAATCAATGAATGTAAATCCAAGTTTTCTGTAAACTTTGGTTAAAATATCAATAAAATAAATTTAAAATATTTATTGGTGTGCACATAATCATTCATACACATCATGTTTTGTACGTGTACCTTATGTTTTATAGAGACATTCACATACATTCATCATACAAACTATCACCCCTCTTTTCAAGTCCCCATTGAGCCTCCCCCATTCCTTCACCCCTTCCACTCATTGACCTCTTTTTTAAAATTTATTTTTATTTATTTTTTTAAATTTTTTATTATTTTTGTGTGAGTGTACCGTCAAATCAGATCTGACTGGTACAGGAGGAATTTGTCCCTCCTTCCCCAGCCATGCGCCTCTGGGATTGTAGTTGCAGCTCCTTACCACTAGGCCACCAGAGCTCCCCTTCATTGACCTCTGTTATCCAGTATTTTCTCCCTTTCCTCCTTTCTCTCCTTTCCCTATGAACATTTATACATCTCTTACTCTGTTATCCTTCTATGTTCATAACAGTGACCTTATGCTATATTTGTCTTGAGATATTTCACTCAGCATAATGTTCTCTAGTCTCTCCCAATTTATATAGTACTTTTACAAAATCATTGCTCCTTAGTGTTGCACAGCATTCCAGGGATGGTTTTACAAGATTCTCACACTCCTTTAAAAAGACCTTATGAATCCAAATTTATGTGAGTCTGCAAAACAAGGCAACCTCAAAGAGTAACAGAGCCACAGCAAATGAATACAGGAACTAACTTGAAAGAGTTCCCACTGGCTGACTTTGGGACATGAGCTCCTAAGATGATACTGACTGTAATTACCGAAGCACTTTATATAATCCATATGTTCACAAAGATTATAAAAAATAGAAAGCAAAATACAGAACTAATCATAACAATGAAACCTCCTTTGGCACCAGGGGAGGCAACTTCTCAGAGAGAACGAACTAAATGGAGTTCCTGTCTTCTCAGTATCAATAGGGATTGTCCTTCAAAGTAACCAAATTACTCCTTGAGCCAGAGCTCTTCGCCATGGCAGAATGCCAGCTAGTAAATGTGGAAAGAATGATGCAATTAGGAAATCATCATTTTTCAATTCCCAACGAAAGAGCTGTTTCAGCCCAGGATGAGTTTTAGATGAAAGCTTGACGGGGGATTGGAAGTCCACACGGAGCCAGAGCATTACTCCACAGACCACGTGAGTCAGACAGGGGCAAACGTGGCTGCACAACGCACACATCTGCTTGTCACCACCTTAGTCTGGTCATCAAACTTTTCATCATTAATAGCAGGACAATCAGACATTATTTGCCTTCTGATGTGATGCAATAGAAAGTACACACAGCACCAGTCAAGAAACACTCCTGCTGTAAATGTTAGTCTCTACCCGATCAGCCCTTTAAATGTAAGACTCCATTTACGAGAGACATAGGGAACACAGGCAGACATAAAGGAACCAGTTAACAATGCCATAAGGAAACAATCAGATAAATCCGGAACATAGGACCGTGTACAAATCATCTCTTCAACAAGTTCGTGTCATGGAAAAGAATAAAAAAAGATGAACAGCTCCAGATTTGAGGGGATTCTGTAGACATAACAAGCACATGAAATGCACAGTCTTTAATTAAACTCTGGCTTGGGAGGGGGGAGAGTTACAAAAGACATTTGGAGGACACTTAGGAGATTTTAATATGGGCTGATGATTAGATGATCTTGCTGTTCTGCGCTGTCCATTCAGGATGACGAATTTCATAACTGAACCTCCAGTGGGTTTTCAGAGGCTGTAAATCACACGGGAGGAGATCGCCTATCTTTCTCCCTAGGAGCATCTGGTGCACTGAAACTCAGCACTGCTCCTTACCACTTGCCACCAGAGCTCAGGATACAATTGTTAATCTTTTTTGTTGTGTGTGTTTTTGAGATTTGTTTTAAGATCCATGCTGAATTATTTCTGGATAAAGTGTTATTATTATGGATTCAATTGTGTCCCCAAAATATAGGTGTTGAAATCCTAATCCCTGAAATTATAAATGTGATCCTGTTTGGAAGTATACATTTTATTTTGTTATGTTAATGAAGCTAGAGCAGAGCAGAGTGAGTCTTAAACCAGGTCACTTCTGAATTATATAAAGCCCAGGACAGAGATCTACACAAACAGAGGAAGACAATGGAGACAGAGGCATCTAGCAGCCCTGGACCCCTGGAGATTGCCAGCTCACAGAAGCGGAAATAAACCAAGGACTTGCCTCTGGAGCCACACCCTGAATTTGAACTCCTAGCTCTCTGAGCCATGGGAAAAAAAGTCAATTTCTTTTCTTTAAAACCATCCGCATGTGGCATTTCTGTTACACCAGCCAGGCTTACTAAAACAGGTGTCACGAACCAGCAAAATGTGCAGAATGATGACTGTAGTTGGTAGCAGGACTTTGATGAATTTGTTCTGGGTCAATCCCCTGTTGTGAATTTGTGTTCCACTCCAGACAGACTGGATCCAAATCAACAGCTTTTTAACATGACTCCCTTTCTAGAACAGAAATTTCTTTTTTTCTCCCAGTTCAGGAGGCTAGGAGAGCAAATCCGGGATGTGATTCTAGACAGAACCTTTGTTTATTTCAGCTTCTGGTAGCCCATCACCCTTCAAGGCTGGGGCTGTCTCCACATTGCTTTCCTCCTCCCTCTGTGTGTGTCTCCATAAGTATTCTGTGAATGTAAGTGTTACCAACAAATCTATTAAAACCACCCGAGGATCTTTTACAAGTGCAGATTTTTATGCCGTGTATCTGGGGGTGCATGTTCTCCGTAGGTTTGAAGTCTTGAGCAGGGAAATCCTCTTGTTAATTTATCTGTCTCTTTGAAATATCCCACAGTGACTTTTAAGAGAAAGAATTTTAAAAGAACAAGTGTATCATGGTTTTAATACACACCTAAGCAAACATAGTAGTTTCCTGAGGCTGGCCAACCTCAATCAAGTGAAAATGGCTTCCAGGAGCATTGGACAGTTTTTAAAAGAAATCCAAGGCTCCAGTCAGCCTCAATCAGAAAAGGTTCTGTGATTGATTCGTGATGTCTGTCATGGACATGGTATTAGCAAGCAGTTTCTGGCAAGCCAGGCATTTGCCATTCTTATTTTAAATCACGTAGTCCTTCGGCTCTGTCTCCCATATGATCTTCCATGGGAAAGAAGGAAATTGGAAGCATTTCTTGAGATTTAGAACATGTGTAATTCCTCGTTGATGTTGTTCAGACTGGGTTGGAACATACATACCTAGAAGTCATGGCTAGACTTCAGCTATCACAGGATAAGAATGTTGTGTTCCCAAAAAATTCATGTCTTGTTATACTTGGAGTGACTTCACCCTTCTGTGTTGCCTAGCTTTCTAAGCAATGTTTCTTCTGAAAACATCCCACCTGCCTTTGCGGAGGCACGAGGACCTAGGGGTGAGCTAGAGGCAAGCAGCAGCCAGCAAAGCCCAGCTGCTGAGGTGGAGAGAAACTTG